AAGTCTTGTTTGCTGAAAGAGAAGACTTGAAACACTGGCTGCAGAAGATCCAGGATTACAGCCTTCATTATGGGTTAGATCTCAACACTGAGGAAACAGAAATCCTTACCTTTGAACCAGCAATCAACATGATGATAGGTAGAGAAAAGATTGGAGTTGTAAAGGATTTCGTTTTACTTGGATCCACATCAACACCTTTGCTAGCAGCAGACAAAGCGTAAGTTGTGTTGTATTAGAGAAATATGCTTTCAAAATCCTATCCAAAGTTCTAAAAAATGAAAAAAAAAGTTCTAAAGACCAATGATGTCAGTTTAAAGACTAAGGTGTGTTTGCTTCAAGCCTTGATATTGTCATTTGTTTCCTATCCATCTGAAAGTTGAACAATGAATAGGAAGTCTGAAGAATTATTGATGCCTTTGAATTGTGATATTGAAAAAGAGTATTATACCATGCATGGGCTTGCCAAAATAACAAGTCTGCCTTGAGGGAAGTGCAACCAGAGTGCTTTTTAGAAGTAAGGCAGGAGGAACCAGTCCTTAGAGAAAGACCTCATGCTGGGAAGGGTACGAGATGGATTGCAACAGTAGACACCACAATGGGCTTGAGCGTGACACCAATGGTGAAGATGGTGTGAGATAGGAAAAGGTTCAGATCTATTGTTTCTAGGGTCACTGTGAGTCATCATTGATTTGATGCACCTAACAACAACTATATGGATTCATTGTTAACTTTTAAATACATTTAAAAGGCTTCAAATAAAAAAAAATTTTTTTAAAGGCTTCAAATAAGCTTATAAAACAAAGAAAAAATATTTTAAAACACAATTTTACATTCTAGAAAGCCATTGTTAACAATTTGCTGTAATTTGTGATTATACTTTTTTTGTCTTTGCATTTATCTTTCTAAAATTAGCAGTATGTCCTAGTCAGTTTATATGAGTCTTTTAAGAGAAATTTTCTTTTACTTACATGGATTTACAATTGAAACCTCAAACTTACATCTGATTATTAGGCTATATATTTCATTACCACTTTAAGTTCTACATTTTTCTTTGAGACTGTGAGAAGGAAGGAATAAGGCATAGCATATTCAGGATGGAATAAGTAACATTTTAGTTCTTAGCCTTCAGTATTCCTAAATAAAAGAGAAAAAACTTTCTCAGAATTTTTTAGGAAAATAATTCTTTTGAATCAGTACATTGTTGTGTATAAACAGTTTCATAATTCTGTGTAAAAGGAATTCTATTCCCAAACTAATAAAATTATTCATTGCACATGGCAGATACTAATTTATTTCATTTTTAGCTTTTCACTATGAGTTTTAAAATTAAAATCTCCATATTTTATGATGAGTTTGTAAGAATTTTTCAAACCAGTGACTTGTCAAGTTACTTCTTAAAATGAACCTATTAATCTACCTTTTAAAGTTGTAAGAATAGTGACTTTATTTTTATATAATGTAAAAACAAATACATTTTTCTTAAGTGCCATCAAGTTGCTTGTGACTTATAGCAACCCTATGTACAGTAGCTCTGAACCCTCCTCTATCCTGAGCCATTGTTACTGTCTTTGACACACCTACTCCCATTATCCTGCTCACTGAGTCAATCCATCTCATCAAGGATCTTCCTCTCTTGTACTAGCTCTTTACCCTCCCAAGCATGGTGACCCTCTCCAAGGACTAGTCAATTCTTGCAACATACCCAAAGTATGTCAGACGAAGCTTGAATTTTTTTCCTCCAAGGAGCATCTTGGTTTCACCCTCTGTAAGATGAACCTATTTGTTCTCCTAGCAGTCCTTGGTATATTCAATACTCTTCTCCAGCACCACAGCTCAAAGGCATCAATTCTTCTTCTATACCCCTAGTCACTGTTCAGCTTTCTGACTCATAGCAAGGCACACCTTAACCTCCAGACTAATATCGTTGCTCTTCAGTACAGTGGAGAGGTCCCTGACATCAGACTTTTCCCAATGCAGTTTATCCCTTGATTTCCTGCCTACTGGTACCAAGAATGTTGATTGTGGAGCCAAGTAAACTGAAGCTTGTAAAAATCTCAATCTTTTCACCATTTGTCTTTATGCCACTAATCAGCCCAGTGGTGAGAATCTTTGTTTCCCTTGTATTAAGCTTCATTAATATTAACCTATTAATTTGCCTTTTAAAATTATAAGATTAATAACTTTATATAATATAAAACCAAATCTTTGAGCTTGAAAATACAAGAAAGGTGTACGCCACTGTTAGCATTCTTCAAGCAGGAAAGAGTATTTCCATACAAAATGAAAATTGTCACATTAGCCTTACGTTGTCGTCATGATTGTGTGCCATTGAATTGGAACTGACTCATAGCAGGAGTGGCATCCACTTACTAAACAACATGGAAACTGTGAACTTTGATAAATGTCAGTAGTTATAGAAAAGCTTCAGGCCTTTTGTTCATAGAGTTGTGCTCGACTTGACGGCAGTCAACAACAGCATAGCTCAAACAACTCAAAGCTGACTCTCCACAACTTTTAAGAGGCTATAAATCACACAGGAGGAGATTGCCCATCTTTCTTTTGCTGCTGGTCTGTTCAAACTGCTTGCTTTTTAGTTGACAGCATTAGCTCCAAAATTTAATGTTTCACATCTAGCACGTAAATTTTTTTCCACTTTTTAAAATTTTATACTGGTTTACATATAAAGCTCATAAAATTTGTATACATTGTTTTTCACACCAGATCTTTCCCCTTTTGTCTAACCATCCCTCCCTCCACCCATCAAATTGTGTGACTCTATGATCAAGCCCCCCCCACTTGGATCTCCTCATACTCGTTCTACAGTAATTGTCTTATCCTGTGTTTGTCCTTATGAGACTTAGCATAATGCTTTCCAGTCCCTCCCGTGTTGGGTAGTAATTTACAGAATCATTGCTTCTGCATGCTGCATAGTATTCCATTGTATGAATGTACCATAATTTCTTAATCCATTCTATTTTGGTTGGGCATTTGGGCTGTGTCTATGTTCTTGCGATGATGAATAATTCTGCTATGAACATTAGCGTACAGTGTTTATTTGTGCCTCAGTTCTCATTTCGAAAGTTTATACAATCCTGCAGGGCCTCCAGAAGAAAAAAAAATTGATAACTCAATTACAAAATGGGCAAAAAGAGATGGAAAGATTTTTCACCAAGGAGGACATTCACATGCCAAACAGAAACATGAAGAAATGTTGTAAATCACTGACAATAAGAGAGATGTAAATCAAAACCACAGTAAGATACCCAGTAGCAGTAGCAAAGTTTAGAAGGGCAGCAACTAATATATATTAGAGAGGATGTGGAGAAAGGAATGCTTATACATTGTTAGTGGGATTGTAAAATGGAAGGCAGTTTGGTGATTCCTCAAAAAGCTGAACAAAGAAATTCATATGACCCAGCTATTCCACTACTTGGAGTATACCCTAATTAAGTAAATTTTCAATTTTAAGATGATTTTTCTTTGTTGTGTTTTCAGAAAATATCTCCTACTCTGGTCACATTTCAAAGGCTTTGTCTTCCACATTGATATAAAATATACTGGGAATTTTTATATTTTATTTTAATTTATTTGGAGACTAAATATCATTTTTTCCATATGAAAATGCCCAGGACTGTTTATTACGTTGGTTTCTTCTTCCCCTAGAAATGTCATGTCTTTGCATTTGTTTTCCTATGTAGCCAGTTTTTCTGTGTATGCATAGGCTTAAATTCTCATTTTCTGCTCTTTTTATTTATCTTTCCTTGCACTAACAGGATCATAAACTGTCCAAATCAATTTTATAAATTTGTCCTGTATTTTATAATGTTCTTAGTTCTTTGTCCTTCCAAATATCTTTTAGAATCAACACATCAGGACTATTTTAAATTCTGTTAAGTTTTTAGTTAAATTATTAATTAGGAGATAGCTGACAACTTTTTATTTGATATATTTAAGCATCCTTATTGAATATTTAAAGACTGTGTCCTGTTTACTGGGAACTGGGTGTACAGTAGTGAACTGAGCTTTAAAGGATCTCTGCTTTCATGTGGAAAGAGATAGACAATAAAGAAGATAAATTATGTGCTCTATTATTATTAATGGTAACTCTGGTGACTTAGCGTCAGGAGTTGTGCTGTCATCCTAAAAGCATCAGTTCAAATCCACTAACTGCTCTTCTTCAGGAGAAAATATGTAGTCTCCATCCATGCAGTTTACAGCCTTTGAAAACTTACTGGATGATCAGCTGTGTGTTGGTTCCAGGTAGATAGTACGTAACAACATTACTATTAACCCAAAGCTGAAAATATTTAACTGGTTTTTCCATACAAAGGATCAACAATAAAAAAGGATGGACTATTTATGTATGTACAAACACAGATGAATCTCAGAAACCACTATACTAGGTGAAATAAATCAAAGATATATAGTATATAACTCAGCTTTGTGAAATTTTGACAAAAGACCAAACTATACATACAGAAAGAAATTAGGTCATTGGTAACCTGGGATTTAAGGTCATAGCATGTATTGCCTTCAAAAGAATATGAGAAGAAAAAGGGAAAAAAGGATGAGCGAACTTTTCTGAATGATGGAAACATTTTTAAATTGGATTGTGATGATGATTGCACAACTCTGTGAATATATATAACCATTGAATTATACCATTTAGGTCAGTGAATTTTATAGTATATAAATTATCTCAATAAAGATCATACAAAAAATTACAAGTATGTACTGAAGTGAAATTTGATGGGGAATAGGATTGGAGCAGGAAGGTCACATCTGTTAAGGACAGATTTGAATGAGTTAATTGGTTATTAAAATCTGGAATGTAGAAAAGAAATCCTCAAGTAAATACTATGTTTAAAGTTAGGAGTTCTCCAATCCATCAATATAGTATACTTAAGACAGGGCTTTATTTCTCCTTTGTATAAATTCTGTTGGTTGTTATTATCCTCCCCTCCAAAGAATAGAAATATGTTCATGTTTTTGTATTTTAGGATCTTCAAGATGAGGTTCAGAGGGAGAATACTAATCTTCAAAAGCTTCAGGCCCAGAAGCAGCAAGTACAGGAACTCCTTGATGAACTGGATGAGCAGAAAGCCCAGTTGGAAGAGCAGCTCAAGGAAGTCAGAAAGAAATGTGCTGAAGAAGCCCAACTGGTAAAGTCTGGTTGTTCACTGCTGTTTTTTCTACCTTAAGAGTTAATTTTTTTTTCTCCTTTTGTTGTTAGATTAGTAATCTTAACAGTTGAGCAGTGACGGAAGATGGAGCAAGGCTCACCAAGAAATTATAGCCTTTCTTCAGAAGGCAAATATCAGAGCACTTAATGTACTATTTTTCTGAATTTTAGTTGGAAACAAAACTGGATTGCCTCCAACTTCCTCTCTTCCTCTCCTCCTTACCCTTTTCAAACACCAAAAAACAAACTTTAGGGAAAAACTACAGTAAAAGATAAGTTAAATAATAAAAGTGTTATATTTGGAACATTTTAATGATGCTCATCTTTTAAACCCTTTTCCTTCTGTTGATCACTGTAAAGATCTCATCTCTGAAAGCTGAATTAACTAGTCAAGAATCACAGATCTCCAGTTATGAAGAAGAATTGGCCAAAGCTAGAGAAGAACTGAGCCGCCTACAGCAAGAAACAGCAGAATTAGAAGAGAGTGTGGAGTCAGGCAAAGCACAGTTGGGACCTCTTCAACAGCATCTACATGATTCACAACAGGAAATCAGTTCAGTAAGTCTTTGTGGAAGTAGGAAATAAGTTCAAATGTCATATTATGTAATATGTTCTTTTTAATATGTTCTCAATATTTGCTACTCCTCTTTGTGCTAAGTTTATTATCTATTTTTTAATATCTCTCTCTCATTGAAACCAGTTCATAACCGATTGAAACCAATTCATAATTCCGTTGAATTCCCAAGACTATAACAAGAGACTGCCCGTGTTTCTCCCTCTGGACTACCAGTGGGCTTGAGTGGCCAGGGAGGTATGACTTTAGGGTCAACAGCACAACTCCCTATAGACCATAGAGAGGTTTTTTGGTTTGTGTTGTTTTTTATTATTATTATTATTATTATTATTAGTTTGTGTTCTTTTTTTATTATTATTGTTATTATTATTATTATCATCATCATCATCATTTTGTGTGCGTGTACCGTCAAATTGGATTTGACTGGTACAGGAGGAGATTGCCCCTCCTTTTCTAGAAGAGCATCTGGTGGATTCAAACCACACACCTGTGGGACTTCAGTGCAGCTTATTGCCACTAGGCCACCAGAGCTCCCTAGAACATAGAGTTTTAATACTAAAAAGTTTCTTGTCATTTGTCATAACTTTATTTTATAGCTTGTATAGCTGATGATTATCTTTGCTATGGATTCGGTGACAGAAATGGAGCTGGAGAGAGAATGATTGAATTTTCCACAATCAATGACTTATTCATAGCAAATACATTTTTTAAGAGACATAAACGCAGGTTATA